TGTGCTCCTCAGAGTCCCAGCAGGAGTCCAGTCCCTGTGCTCCTCAGAGTCCCAGCAGGAGGTCAGTCCCTGTGCTCCTCAGAGTCCCAGCACGAGGCCAGTCCCTGTGCTCCTCAGAGTCCCAGCAGGAGTCCAGTCCCTGTGCTCCTCAGAGTCCCAGCAGGAGTCCAGTCCCTGTGCTCCTCAGAGTCCCAGCAGGAGTCCAGTCCCTGTGCTCCTCAGAGTCCCAGCAGGAGTCCAGTCCCTGTGCTCCTCAGAGTCCCAGCAGGGGTCCAGTCCCTGTGCTCCTCAGAGTCCGGGCTGGTTCATATGGGACTAACATGTCACTAATATATTTTGGTGCGAGGCCATGGAGAGACTTGTAACAAGCAGAGCTGTTTTAAAGTCTATTCTCTGAGCCACAGGAAGCCAGTGCAGAGACCTGAGGACTGGACTAATATGGTCGTACTTCCTGGTTCTAGTCAGGACTAATGTGGTCGTACTTCCTGGTTCTAGTCAGGACTAATGTGGTCGTACTTCCTGGTTCTAGTCAGGACTAATGTGGTCGTACTTCCTGGTTCTAGTCAGGACTAATGTGGTCGTACTTCCTGGTTCTAGTCAGGACTAATGTGGTCGTACTTCCTGGTTCTAGTCAGGACTAATGTGGTCATACTTCCTGGTTCTAGTCAGGACTAATGTGGTCGTACTTCCTGGTTCTAGTCAGGACTAATGTGGTCATACTTCCTGGTTCTAGTCAGGACTAATGTGGTCGTACTTCCTGGTTCTAGACAGGACTAATGTGGTCATACTTCCTGGTTCTAGTCAGGACTAGTGATGTGCTGAGCGGACCGAGTCTTCGAAGCGTGGACCGAGTAATCTGGGGGCGTTTCTTGTGAAGTGTGGGTCGAGGCGTGTATTGGTCACGTGTGTGGTGACGTTCGAAGCCTCGCGTAGCGGCCGCACCACGTGACGGTTCATATAGTGCTTCATATAGTTCGGAGAGTGCATTGCTTTGACAGGTGCTTTGTGATCCGCGGCTGTACCATAGACTGTATTGGCTGTCCCCGTCTGCCTCTGTGTGCGTACGTGTGTGTGCGTACGTGTGTGTGCGTGATGTGGAGCAGTCCTGTACTAAGTATAGAGAAACTACTTCATATGAAATACAATTAAAAACGTTTCACTTTAGTAAAACCTCATATATCAAGGCTTCAAGTTATTACTAATAATACGCTGGATAATACATTTCACAACAGCTGTGTGGCGCAGTCGGTATATGACGGACTCCGAAGCAGAAGATATAGCGTTCGAATCCTGGTCTACCCATAATAAATTTTGTGTTGCAAAGTAAATGTATTTATTTATTGGGAATAAATGGTTTGTTGTGTTTAATTAATCCACCTCTTGGTAGTTTTTCCTCCATTAATCACTTTCTGTAGAACTGTATTACTTTGGATGTGTTTGTTGTATCAACACAATTGACTGAAAGACTCAAATAGTTCATAGTTCATGAAGCATCATTTCAAACACAACACGTTAGACCATAGATTGTAAATATACATTTTAACATTAGATCTCACCATTCATTGTAAGCACTTAAGAGTGTTATGTATTTCTTTGTCCACATGATGGCGTAGTGGAGCATGATTCACCTCGAGCCTTCGACTCATGGGCCGAGTAATAGGCTGCTATCCCTCAAGGCTTCATGGGGCTTCATATTGCCATCACTAGTCAGGACTAATGTGGTCGTACTTCCTGGTTCTAGTCAGGACTAATGTGGTCGTACTTCCTGGTTCTAGTCAGGACTAATGTGGTCGTACTTCCTGGTTCTAGTCAGGACTAATGTGGTCGTACTTCCTGGTTCTAGTCAGGACTAATGTGGTCGTACTTCCTGGTTCTAGTCAGGACTAATGTGGTCGTACTTCCTGGTTCTAGTCAGGACTAATGTCGTCGTACTTCCTGGTTCTAGTCTGGACTAATGTGGTCGTACTTCCTGGTTCTAGTCAGGACTAATGTCGTCGTACTTCCTGGTTCTAGTCAGGACTAATGTGGTCGTACTTCCTGGTGCAGGTTTTTTCAGTGTTAATGCAGTGTCTTAAAGTGACTTTTTGTACAGTCTGACAGCAGTGGGATGAATATACAGAACAAAGAACAAACTGAAATTGTAAAAGAAATACCCTCAAAATCATATTGTCTTATATTCTCAGTCAAAAAGGAGCAGACCGCATGTGTGTGTTTGACATTATTTTTAGTAAATAAATATTGTTTTCAGTGTGTCTTACTAATACTAACACACGTGATATTCTCCTGACCTGACCCTGAACAGGTCTTGAAGAGCTAACTCAGAGGAAAAACGCCTGTTATGCAAAATCTATCCATTTATAACGACCATTATTCTACTCTCAGTGCAACCCTCCTTCACGCAACACATTCTCACAAGCAGCTAATTATTTTTGAACTTACATAACTCACATTTTCACTACAATTTCCGTGTGTAAGTCGTGTAAAGAGGGGATAGAATAACACACACCTGTAATTACTTCTAATGCACCTGTCCATCAAAAGTCCCGTGTGTTTGTTACTCAGGCCGAGGCTAATTTGCTTCTTTTGTTGCCGAGTGCGTTAAGGTCGAGCAGAAAGACAGAGCTGTTAGCAGTCATTTCCTAATGCTATTTTACCACGGCGCCTATTCACCGCAGTGTCAGGCTTTCCCTTTAATTAAGTACACGTTTAGCACAGTGGCCCCGCTCCAAGGCCCCTAATGGACGGCTGGTTGGCAGAAGTCCAGAAACCAGTGACACAAAGCTCATTTTTTACTGCGGCGTCGCTCACAAATGGGATTGATGTGAAAATTGAACTGAGTTTGGAGAAATGACTGAAGATAATGAAGCTGAAGGATTTTATAACGGGATGTGTTGAACTGGGAGTCCATGTGTTGATTTCATTTCATTTCATTTTCAAGCCCTTTATTGTCCATTTCTGGGTCAGGGGGGTGGCAATGAGAGCTGCCCCCAAAGCTCATAGCACCAGTCCCTCTGATCCTCTGCAGTGGGTGAGTCCACAGGAAGATGGCTGCTCCATCAGTTGAGAAACCGCCTTGATCTTTCAGTGGGGGCTTCAGGCAACATGGGGTTAAGTGTCTTGCCCAATGACACAACGAAAGCAGTCATCCAGTCGGGAGCGTTGGAGTATGGTCCCATGGTGGGATCGAACTCCACGACCTCAGGCCCAAAAGGTAATGCTCTTACCAACTGAGTACGGTCGCCCCCCTGCATGTGTTGATAAACTGGATAAATACGGTGGTCCCTCTTTATCGCGGGGTTACGTTCTAAAAATAACCTTCGATAAAAGACACAGTAGCAGCGATGTGTTCACTGCAAAAAGAGAAGAAAAATACGTTTAAAAAAATGCTAAAAAAATCCTAATTTTAACATGATTTGCCGATGGGTCAAAGCAACATTTTCTTGTTTTAAAAATATTCAATAAATGTCTCTGTCACGGTGTGGATTTTATATTTGTGCTTTGGATTTATTTTGACATCAGTTTTCTGTGATTTGGTTTTAGTTGTACTTCCTGTCTGCCCCGCCCTGATGTGTTTCACCTGTACCTGTGTCTATATGTACCTGTGTCTGTGTCTATATGTAAACTGTGCTCCTCCTCCTCATTTGTTTTGTCATCATTAAATCATTCTCGATCCGTGACTTGATATCAGACTAAATGGCTTTATCCATCGGAAAATATATTTTTAAGAGAGTCGGAATGTGCTCAGATTAAGATACAATTCTCTACATTCAAGCAATTTCTACCTCAATTGTTATCATTTTCAGCAGTGTTTCAAGGCTGGCCTCCTGTGGCTCAGAGAAGACTTTAAAACATCTGTGACATGTTTAGTGCCATATTGAACCAACTCTGAGGAGCACAGGGAGGGACCTCCTGCTGGGACTCTCACAGGGACTGGCCTCCTCTGGGACTCTGAGGAGCACAGGGACTGGCCTCCTGCTGGGACTCTGACGGAGCACAGGGGAACTGGCCTCCTGCTGGGGGACTCTGAGGAGCACAGGGGACTGGCCTCCTGCTGGACTCTGAGGAGCACAGGGACTGGCCTCCTGCTGGGACTCTGAGGAGCCACATGGACTGGCCTCCTGCTGGGACTCTGAGGAGCACAGGGACTGGCCTCCTGCTGGGACTCTGAGGAGCACAGGGACTCTGCTGGGACTCTGATCTGAGGAGCACATGGGAACTGGCCTCCCCCTGCTGAGCTCTGATGTGAGGAGCACAGGGACTGGCCTCCTGCCAGAGTCAGGACCATGGGGAGGCAGCGTTCCAGATTCATACAGCTATATAATTTGAGGACAGTTTTCCAGGCTTCTTCTCTTAGTTTAAATCCAGGTTAAAACAGTTCTGTATCTAATATGTTTGATTGTTAATCTCTTATATTGTTTTTCTGAAGCACTGTGAGTTGGCCTTGTGAATGTCTCTGTGCTGTACTAACAAACTAGCCTTGCTAGTTGCTGACATTTTTTGTAAAACTGGCAAAATTAATCGTAGATGTGTCATTAAATGTCTAGTTTAACCTGTTTATTATAAACAGAAAACATTTGAAAACATAAGTAAAGTGGTTAAATTCACCTGATGATAACACTTTAATGTGATATTTTAACACTAAAACCAGCGTCATAATCAGAACAAATGTCCTGACTGGTCGTTTCCACCACAGTTGTTAAACCAATGATATTGAAGTCTAACCCGGTTCCCTGACAAATTTTTATTAGCTCTGGCCATTTCAAAGCCCAGTAAATGTATCTAAATTGAGTTTAAGTGCACTACTTTTTCCTGAAAATCGAAAAACCATTTTTCACCAGGAGCCCCTTGAAATGGAAAAGTGTGTCAGGCAAAATGGTTCTGTGTGATTCGTCCTAATAACCAACGCTTCCACTGGAGGGGATGGTCTGGTAGGTCCAAATAGCTACCTCTCTGAAACATGTTCTGACCTCGGACATTTTTATTATGACACAAAATGACTTTCAGTGAGACAAGAATAATGTGGAGTCACTCGGAACACTTTTACACACGCCGTGAATGCAGCTGAGGAGAGCGAGGAGCACTCCCTCCCAGGAACCACGGAACCCCCTCTCAGGGTGCTCACACTGCAGGACCCTTGACCCTCTGAGGGTGCTCACACGCACAGGACCCACGACCCCATCTGAGTGTGTGCTCACACGTCGCAGGACCAGGACCCCTCTGAGGGTGTCACATGCAGGACCCTGACCCCCTCTGGAGGGGTGCTCACACTGCAGGACCCATGACCCCCTCTGAGCCGGTGCCCCACTGCAGGACCCAGGACCCCTCTCAGGGTTGCTAACACTGCAGGACCATGACCCCCTTGAGGGTGCTCACCACTGCAGGACCCAGGACCCCTCTCAGGGTGCTCACACTGCAGGACCAATGAACCCCTCTGAGGGTGCTCACACTGCAGGACCCAGGACCCCCTTCAGGGTGCTCACAATGCAGGACCCAGGACCCCCTCTGAGGTGCTCACACTGCAGTTCACTTGGAGAGACCCAAGAGGGAAAAATGCAGTTAGAAGTTTGTTGATTGAGCATGTGGCGCGCCTAGGCCGGGAGAGATGCTGATGAGTGCGGAGCTTGCTCGCGCGCATATCCCCTCCCGGGGCTATGCACTGGTGACGGCAGAGGGCAGTAGGCAAGCACGCTTCGATGAGAGAAGGAGGAGGTTGGGGCGTGCGGAGGCTTTGCAGACTTCAGAAGGCCGGGAATTGGGCCGTATCCGGCTTTTAACTTGTGTTCCTGGTGGTTATTGGTGGACTAGATGTGGGCGTTGTTTTGCTGGTGTAATGAGTAGAGGATGAGCAGGCTTGTAGATCTGGCTGCGTTCTAACCACAGGGAACTTTCGGGCAGAAGAGCTTCATTTCACCAAGAGGGAAAATGCAGTTAGAAAGTTTGTTGATTGAGTATGTTTGGCGCCCTAGGCCCGGGAGAGATGACTGATGATGTGGGAGCGCTCGCATCACGATCGATACCAGACGTTGAAGCAGAGTTATCTTTGAGCGCCCGGGATGTGTGAGCTTGCATCACGATCAACCGGACGGCTGGGACGTGAGCGCTCGCATCACGATCGATACCAGACGCTGTAGCAGAGTTATCTTTGAGCGCCGGGATGTGTGCGCTCGCATCACGATCAACCGGTACGCTGTCTGGGACGTGAGCGCCTCGCATCACGATCGGTACCAGACGCTGCGGTGAAGTTATCTTTAAGGCAGGACGTGAGCGCGCTCGCATCACGATCAACCGGACGCTGTCTGGGACGTGGAGCGCTCGCATCACGATCGGTACCAGACGCTGCAGGGAGTTATCTTTAAGCGCCGGGGGACTTGTGAGTGCTCGCATCACGATCGATACCGGACGCTGAAGCAGGGTTATCTTTGAAGAAGTGCGTGCCGCCACCAGAATCTTATTGGTTCACTTACTTTGCTTTGTATAGCTTTGCTGGGAGCTTACAAGGAAGCCAGTAGCCGTTGTGCAGCCAGGATGGCGGACGCGTGATGTAGGTGGAGAAAGCCGAAGAGGACCAGCGCCCCAGCTGTTGCAGAGAGGTGTGGGGGAGCCCCAGCGAGGCTGCTGCGCGTGGCGGCGCCTATCCTGAAGGAGTGGGCTGTGTAGAGCTGGGGAGACAAATTGCAGAGGAGCAATAGGGATCTTAGCTGAGCTCTGAACCAGGTTTGCTGTCATAGGAAGAATGTCTGGAGTGAGAATAGAGGTCCGTTAAGATCTCCTTTTTGCAGCGGGAGGCGAGTGTAACGCATAAAGGATTTGTAGGGGCAGAGAGATGTGTCCGAGCGAGCTATTACTATATTGCAGGCTCCTTTGATTTTTGAATGTTTGAGACGGAGGTTGAAATGGTCAGGGGACATTATGTTGGGTGAAAAAGAGCAACCTTTGTGTATGCTTCCACTACGTCGAGATTATCACACATGACAGAGATCCTCTTTCTCTGCCAGTGTGATTCCACAGCGCGCAGGCCACGACCACTGGGAATATCTCGTGTAGGGCAGAGGAGATGCTCCGGGGAAAAGTAGCGGGCCACGGCTCGGCGAACCACTGGTCTGGAAGAACCCCCCAAAACCCACGGAAGGGGCAGCGTCCGTGTAGAAGCGGAGAACTGTAGGGGCAGAGACATATCGGAGAGGGCCATTGAAGTTGCAGGCGCCCTTACGCTTGAAACCTTGGGTTGGAGAGTAGAAATCAGGATAGTAGGATGGTCGGGAAAGCCGTCTGACCGCAGAAGGTTGAGGTGGACGCTTATGTTCAGAGATCCATGCAGAAAGCAGGCGGACATTTACAGCCGGGTTTAGCAGCAGCATGGGGACCTCAGATAATTAACAGGCAATAGCATCCCAGGATAAGCTCTATCAAGCAGTTAGCGCGACAGTATCAAGCCGCGACAGCAGCAGCAGCAGCAGCAGCAGCGTCCTTAGAAAATAACAGTAATAATCCTGTATCAAAGCCACGGCAGTAGAATGTTGTTGTAGCTGTTCAGTGTTTCAGTAAAAGATATGCAAGTGAAGAGAGATGGCAATGTAAATGAAGCAGCAGCAGCAGTAGTAGCAGCAGTACGCAGCAGCAGTAGCAGTAGCAGTATGCAGCAGCAGCAGCAGCAGCAGTATGAAGCAGCAGCAGCAGCAGCTGCAGCATCCGTAGATAATAACAGCAATAATCCTGTATCAAGCCGCGGCAGCAGCAGTAGTAGCAGCAGCAGCAGCAGCAGCATCCTTAGAAAATAACAGTAGTAATTCTGTATCAAAGCCACAGCAGTAGAATGTTGTTGTAGCTGTTCAGTGTTTCAGTAAAAGAGATGCAAGTGAAGAGAGATGGCAAAGTAAATGAAGCAGCAGCAGCAGTAGTAGCAGCAGTATGCAGCAGCAGGAGCAGTAGCGGCAGCAGCAGCTGCAGCATCCGTAGATAATAACAGCAATAATCCAGTATCAAAGCCAGAGCAGTAGAATATTGTTGTAGCTGTTTAGTATTTCAGTAAAAGAGATGTGAAGTGAAGAGAGGTGTCAAAGTACATGAAGCAGCAGCAGCACGGCAGCAGTAGCGGTATGAAGCAGCAGCAGTAGCAGCAGTAACGGTAGCAGTATGAAGCAGCAGAAGCAGCATTAGCAGGAGCAGCAGTAGCAGTATGAAGCAGCAGCAGTAGCAGCAGTAGCAGTATGAAGCAGCAGCAGTAGCAGCAGTAGCAGTATGAAGCAGCAGCAGTAGCAGCAGTATGAGGCAGCAGCAGCGGTTGCAGCATCCGTAGATAATAACAGCAATAATCCTGTATAAAAGCCACAGCAGTAGAATATTGTTGTAGCTGTTTAGTGTTTCAGTAAAAGAGATGCGAAGTGAAGAGAGGTGTCAAAGTAAAGAAGCAGCAGCAGCACGGCAGCAGTAGCAGTATGAAGCAGCAGCGGCAGCAATAGTAAGTAAGTAAGTAAGTAAGCTTTATTTATATACCGCCTTTCACAGACCAGAGTCACAAAGCGGTTTACAATTGTTGTTTTTTTGGGCACTTGTCCTCTCACTCCACACAGAGATGGGAGCGGGGTCGCCGAACAGGAGGCGCATGCCAGCCCTATTGTACATATTTTTAGTGGTAGGGGAAACCGGAGTACCCGGAGGAAACCTACGCAGACACAGGGAGAACATGCAAACTCCACTCAGAAAGGCCCTGGTCCGGCCGGGATTCGAACCCAGGACCTTCTTGCTGAGAGGCGAGAGTGCTATCCACTCAGCCACCGTGCCGCCCTAATAGCAGCATTAGCGGCAGCAGTAGCGGTAGCAGTATGAAGCAGCAGAAGCAGCATTAGCAGGAGCAGTAGCACCACAATGCGATTCATACGAACAAACAGACGTGTCACGCCAGCGTGCGCCGCTTGTCTCCGTGAGCCAGGTTACATACGTGTCTGAAAGAGCCAAGCCGTAGAGACAGGTGCCGCCCGGGAGCCCGCGGAGCAGCAGCGGCAGGAACAGCAGCAGCGGCACATGTAGTAGCAGGAGCAGCAGGAGCAGGGACAGGCAGCAGCAGGAGCGGCAGCAGGAACAGCAGCAGCGGCACATGTAGTAGCAGGAGCAGCAGGAGCAGGCAGCAGGAACAGGCGGCAGCAGGAACAGCAGCAGCGGCACATGTAGTAGTAGGAGCAGCAGGAGCAGGCAGCAGGGACAGGCAGCAGCAGGAACAGGCAGCAGCGGGAACAGGCATCAGGGACCGCAGCAGCGGCGGTCAGAGAACCATGCCCACGGTTGTTTAAGAGCCTGAGGAAATAAATCAACCCGAATCCGAAACATACCCATGCAAAAAACAGATGTCCCCTGGAGCCGTCTTCTGCTTTGGTTATGGCAGAGACGCATGAACGATCACTGATCCATGCGTTCATAGCTCCAACTCCACTTCACACTCATTGCAGATTCACATTGGGCCCCTTTTCTTTCTGCTGCACTTTCGAAATGCAACAACTGCAGTTTAGTTACCCAATTTAATACTAGTGACCTAGCTATTTAAATGCATGGCCCCTCCTTCCTCCTGCAGATAGACGAATTTAAATACATTCATTTAACAATAGTGACTTGCGAGTAATGAGATTAATGCTGTAAAGATGGCGCCGTGGCAAGAGCTCTGGTGTGTGCCGTCTGGAGCACGATGGGGTAGTCTTTGCACATTTTTTCCAACGTGGTTTTACTGCAAGTGGCAGAACATGAATCTGAATTAATGCACATTGCTCCTCTTATATCCCTCAGACATTGGAGATTGATGCCATTTAAGATGCATTGTCCCTCAGTTAGCTCAAACACGTGTAAAACGGAGCCTGCAACCAAGCACGGGGCGAAAACTGGCGCCTGTAGTCAAGTGCGTAGGGCAAAAACCAGCCGCCTGCAGCCTAGACTCCGGGATTAATCTGTCCGCGGTCGGCACACTCACTGTACTCACATGCCAGGAAACTTGGGAAAGCAACGGGACAACGCGGCACCGCCAGTCGGAGGCAGGGACACGCACGGCACCGCCAGACCGTCTGCGCGCGGCAGCAGACCACGAGGAACGAGCAGCACAGAAACCGCGGAGGGGCCCCGCGGAGCAGCCCGCAGAAAGAGCCCGCAGAGGAGGAGAGCAGTGGAGACACGCGAACCACAGCAGGTGCAGGGACGCGGAGGAGGAGCAGACCACAAGCAGCCAGACTGAGGACAGCAGGGCCACGTGCACGAGCAACACGTGAGCAGAAGCGACCCCTCCAGAACAACGCATGCATTTGCGAACAGGTGCGTTAGCGACATGCACCTTGCAGGCTTCAGAAGTTTGCAAACTTCAGAAGGCTGGGAAGTGGGCGTCTCCGGCTGTTAACTTGCTGTCCTGGTGGTTATTGGTGGATTAGATGTGGGCGTTTTGCTGGTGTAATGAGTAGAGGATGAGCAGGCTTGTAGATCTGGCAGCAGTGGCCGGGTCTACCACAGTGAACTTTCGCGAAGAGCTTCATGACCCACGACCCCCTCTGAGGGTGCTCACACTGCAGGACCCACGACCCCCTCTCAGGGTGCTCACACTGCAGGACCCATGACCCCCTCTCAGGGTGCTCACACTGCAGGACCCATGACCCCCTCTCAGGGTGCTCACACTGCAGGACCCATGACCCCCTCTCAGGGTGCTCACACTGCAGGACCCACGACCCCCTCTCAGGGTGCTCACACTGCAGGACCCATGACCCCCTCTCAGGGTGCTCACACTGAAAGATGCTGTGTTTCATGTAGACAGTATTACGATATGGATCTAGAAAAGCACTGATAGAGCACAGACCTCTGCCTACAGCTCCGGTCCTTTAACAAAAACCTGCATCCAAATGGTGAGGGTTGATTCTCTTCCATGATGTACTCACGTCCTGAAAAGGCAGTCTAAATCCCCCCTTAACCCTTTGCTCATTATTGTTGTATATAGATTATCACACAGTGCATCAAAAGTGTAGGAGAATTAAAAATGACTTCTTTCCTGAATCATTTCCCGAAGACATTTGTATAATGAGAAATATAATCCCTTCCTTTTTGAAACAAATTTATGAATGAGCAAAAAGTTACTAGCAATGTCAGCGACTCAAGATGCATTTATAAAACAAGCTCCAAAAGATACTCAGCCCATGTTTTCTCTAGATTAAATTCAACTTTATTGTCATTACAAAATCAAAACAATGCAAAAAAATGCAGTTTAGCCTCTAACCAGTCGTGCAATAGTGCAAGTATAGTTGTTGTATATTAACAACACAGATACATGTATAAGCGTATATGTGAGACTGTACAAAGCTTCTGTTGCTGCTATATACATGAATTATACTAGAGTAAAGTAGAAATATGTAAGATTTTCATGTCAATTCTGTTATGTCTTTTCAATTGTGGACCCCAAAGCAGAGTTGAAACAGGCTGACGAAGAACAAAAATTTATTTACAGTCCAAAACAAAAGTAGAAAGAACAAACTGTAGGCAGGCTGAGGTGACAGAGGCGCTGGCTGGAGACTTGGAGGTGCAGCAACCAAGGATCTGGGAAAAAATTGTATGAGTAAAAAAGCGAAATAATCACAGGAACAGGCGCACGAGGACACTACCGTGTGTGACGGAATTATCTGGCACTGAAGAGCAGTCCAAACTGGGCTTAAGAAGCCAGGTGTAAATTGGCTGCAGGTGTGTCTGCTGCACCGTCCAGCCACACCCCCATCACCACAAGCTCTGCAGAAAAACAAAAAGGGAGGGGGGAAGAAACAGAGCAACACAACCCTCACAGTACCCCCCCCCTCAACGGACGCCACCCGGCGGACCACCGGGCTTCGAAGGGAAGCGAACATAAAAGTCCCGGAGGAGGCCCCGGTCCAAAATGAGAGAGCGGGAAACCCAGGAACGGTCCTCCGGGCCATATCCCTCCCAGTCAACCAAATACTGGAACCCACGACCGCGCCGCCGAACATCCAACAAGCGGCGGACAGTGAAGGCAGCATGACCATCGACGAGCCGGGCGGGCGGCGGGGGCTCGGCCGGAGGGCTAAGTAGACTAGACAGAAACGGCTTCAATAGAGAAACGTGAAAAGCAGGATGCACATTCACGGAAGGAGGCAGTTTGAGCCGGACAACCACCGGATTAATGACCTTGTCTATCTCGTACGGTCCAATAAACCTGGGGGACAACTTCCGAGAATCGGTTTGCAGGGGAAGGTCCCGAGTAGACAGCCAAACCTTCTGACCCGGCTTGTATTCAGGAGCAGGTGAACGTCGACGGTCAGCAAGTTGACGGTTACGTGCCGCAGTCCGTGAAAGGGCTGCACGAACCCCGTGCCAGACACGTCGGGCTCGCTGAAGATGTAGTTGGATGGAAGGTACTGCAACTCGAGTCTCCTGGCTCGGGAAAAGAGGAGGTTGAAAGCCGTTAGCAGCCATAAACGGGGACATACCGGTTGCAGATGACACCAGGGTGTTGTGGGAGTACTCAATCCAGGGGAGATGAGAAGACCAGGAAACTGGGTTGCGAGCAGTAACACAGCGAAGGGCAGCCTCCAAGTCCTGGTTGGCCCGCTCAGTCTGGCCGTTGGTCTGCGGATGATACCCCGACGATAAGCTGGAGGAGCACCCCACAGCATGACAGAAGGCCTTCCAAACCTGAGAAGTAAACTGCGGCCCTCTATCAGACACAATATCTTGTGGTATGCCATGGAGTTTGAAAACATGTTCAATGAGTAATTTAGAGGTCTCAAAGGCGGAAGGTAACTTCGGCAGAGAAACAAAATGCACAGACTTGGAGAATCGGTCTACAATCGTCAAAACTACTGATTATCCCTCAGAAGGAGGAAGACCAGTCACAAAATCAACAGAGATGTGAGACCACGGACTGTGCGGAATAGGAAGTGGACGGAGCAACCCAGCAGGTGCTTGGTGAGAAGACTTGCTGCGGGCACAGACTGAGCAGGCAGCAACAAACTCTCTGGTGTCTGCAGACATAGATGGCCACATAAACATAAATGTTGTTGAACTAACTTGAGAGTCCGGTGAAATCCAGGATGGCAAGCGACCTTGGAGGAATGTCCCCATTGAAGAACCTCCGACCTGGCAGAACGAGGCACAAAAACGCGATCCGGAGGACAACCTTCAGGGGATGGTTCATTAACAGAGGCCTCCCGAACGATCCTCTCCACATCCCAGAAAGCTGCACCAATAATGCAGGTGGAAGGGAGGATTGTCTCACTCTGTGAGTCTTCGACCGGTGGTGCAAACTGCCGAGACAGGGCGTCAGGCTTTATATTCCTGGAGCCAGGACGGTAAGTAAGCACAAAGTTAAATCGACCCAGGAATAGCGCCCAGCGCGCCTGTCTGGAATTCAATCTGCGGGCAGAACGGAGGTAAGACAAGTTCTTGTGGTCTGTCCATACCACAAATGGCTGTGTGGTCCCCTCCAACCAGTGCCTCCACTCCTTTAAAGCCTCGATAACGGCTAGTAGCTCGCGGTTACCGACATCATAGTTCCGTTCCGCTGGAGACAGTCGACGAGAGTAGAATGCGCAGGGATGTAGCTTCTGGTCAGGGAGTGAGCGCTGAGAAAGGACTGCGCCTATCCCAGAGTCTGAAGCATCCACTTCCACAATATATTGGGCTGAAGGATCTGGATGAGACAAGATAGGAGCAGAACAAAATAGCTCCTTGAGCTTATTAAAAGAACACTCTGCCTCAACTGACCATTCAAAAGGCACTTTAACAGAAGTCAATCTCGTAAGCGGGCAAGCAACTCTACTATAGTCCCGAATAAAACGTCTGTAGAAATTTGCGAACCCCAGGAACCTCTGAAGTTGCTTCCGGTTGAGAGGCGTGGGCCACTCTGCCACGGCCTTGACCTTATCTGGGTCAGTTCTAATCTGCCCCTGCTCAACGATAAAACCCAGGAAACTAACAGAAGTCAAATGAAAACCACATTTCTCAGCTTTTACATAGAGTCTGTTCTCTAACAAACGTTGGAGTACAAGTCTTACATGTTGGACATGTTCTTGAATGGAACGAGAAAAAAAATCAAAATATCATCAAGATAAACAAACACAAATCTGTTTAACATATCCCGCAATACATCATTAATAAGAGCCTGGAACACTGCTGGAGCATTAGTCAAGCCAAATGGCATTGCCAGGTATTCGAAATGTCCTAGTGTAGTAAATGCTGTCTTCCACTCGTCCCCTTCTTTAATGCGAACTAAGTGATAAGCATTGCGGAGGTCGAGTTTGGTGAAAACTGTAGCATCATGAAGGTGACTAAAGGCAGAGTCCATGAGTGGCAGGGGATATGTGTTCTTAACAGTGATATCATTCAGTCCCCTAAAATCAATACAAGGGCGCAGGGAACCATCTTTCTTACCAACAAAAAAAAACCCTGCACCAACTGGTGAAGAAGATGGGCGTATAAGACCTGTAGCGAGAGAGTCTGAGATATAGGTCTCCATGGCCTCCCTCTATGGCTTAGACAGATTGTAAAGTTTACTGGTAGGTAATGGGGCCCCAGGTATCAAATCTATGCTACAGTCATATGGCCTATGCGGGGGTAATGAAAGTGCTTGATCCTTTGAGAAAACCTCAGGAAGATCATGATATTCAACAGGTATCAGAGATAGATCAACAGGCGTAGGACATGTGCGTAGTCCTGATTTAATTGTTGGCTTAGCGGAATGCAGACAGTGACTGTGACAAAAGAGGCTCCAATTAACAATACTTTGCTTAGGCCAGTCAATGTGTGGGTTGTGGAGTTTAAGCCAAGGAAGACCTAAAACAAGCGGTGAAGAGGGAGAACTGACAACAAAAAATGAAATAGTCTCATGATGGTTACCCGAAAGTAGCAAGGACACTGGGACAGTTTGGTGAGTGATACAAGTCAGTATGTTCCCATCGACTGCATAAACGTTCCTGGGTTCGGGTAGTTCCTCGCAGAAAATGTCACACTGGGAAGCAAAACTGCTGTCGATAAAGTTATCGTCTGCTCCAGAGTCCACTAGGGCAGTAAGAGGGAATGAGTCTTTAGTACAGGACAGCGTACCTTTCAGCTGGACGCGTCCGGTAGAGGGATCTGTAAAGGAGTGGCTCACCAGCAACCCTCCGCTGACCGATGAGCCTATTCTTTTGGCAGAGCAGAACAATTGGCCACATTATGGCCTCCCTGACCGCAGTAGATACAGAGTCGGAAACGAAGACGTCGCTGGCGTTCCTCGAGGGTTAACCGCATCCTCCCCAGCTGCATGGGTTCCTCAGAGCTGGAATTGTGTTGTCCCGTAGTTGTAGCACTGGCAGATTGCCCCAGGTGTGCAGGTGCAGTCTGACGAGGTGGTTGAGAAAAGGTGGCAGGGAATATGGCAGGGAATGGACCTTTCCTAGCTGTTCTTTCCCTGCGTCTCTCTGCTAGACGATTGTCTAAACGAATGGCTAGGGTAATTAATTCCTCAAGGGAAGAAGTCTCGTCACGTGCCGCTAATTGGTCTTTAAGTTCTTCACTCAAACCCCGGAAAAACACACCCTGCAAAGCTCTCTCATCCCACCCGGTCTCTGCAGCTAAAATACGAAAATCAATGGAATAGCTAGAGACTGAACCTGTGCCCTGGCGAAGTGAAAGAAGACGGTTACTGGCTTCTTTCCCTTTGAGGGGATGATCGAAAACTTTACGCATCTCAGTAGAAAATGCATCCAGAGAGTTACAAACAATTGAACCACTATTGACTAGAGCAACAGCCCAGGCAGAAGCCTTT